TAATTTAGAAAAGGAAAAACATGCCAGCTCGATCAATGGGATTTCAGGAAAATGTTTATACACTTATGCATATGTATATCGTATATAGGAAAGCGAGTTCTTGTTATTGACATACTCTCACAGTCGAATTATACACATTTATAAAAACCACATCGCAATTATCCTTTATTTATAGTATGAACCATAAGCATATTATTAGGATAATATTATTTGAGTATGTGACACAACGACAACATGGAGACACAAATAGTAAAATTGTTAGTAATAAATCGCATGGATATGCACAAATTGTGGAAGTCTACACTTGTTTACCAAATATTAAGCATGAGCTGTGCAATAAGAAGTTCCTTTATATAGTATAGGCAGAGCTGTTTGTGGATTTACAATACTCGTTTGAATGTCATATTCTTCAATCAAGCCACTTTTATCAAAAGAGCATGAACATAGAATCTGTGACAAGCTTGCCATAAATAAATGCCGATCTATTGTTTGGAAACATATCATGCATATTAAAAGTTGGATACTATTGTTATCGTTCAAAACAGTGTCCACAATAAAATAAAAACATCTTAAACCTTTGCAAAATAAAATGTGCTTTTTATCCTGTCATTAAGCATACAGTTTGCTGAACCCTGTTCCTACTTGTAATTTTCATTCGGTGTCTGCTCGTGAGTTGAAAGGACATTGGCTTTAAATTTTCAAGTTCTGGAAGGATCCTCACATAAAACATACTACTTGTTGCTAATTTCATCGCTGATATCTGTCCATCTTTGCTTAAGCATGAGATACAAGTTGTAAATTCAGCCTTTGCAAAAAAGTACATTAACAAAAATACCGAATTTCAAGGAAATTCAATTCGGAAAGTCCCTCGTCAAATGGCAAAATCAAAAACTGGAATACATCAAAAGAACAGGAAACAACTGTCATATTCCTGACTTGGTACAGGCATTTCTGAAACTGAGCAGTAAAAAGCGTTTTATTTTTGAAGAATTCGTATTTCATAAATTAGTATCCCCCCCCCCCCCCCCCCAAAAAAAAATAAAACAAACCCAAAATAGTGACCAGAATAGAATATTAAATCTTATACTCTGTTCAAAATCATCAGTGTTTCTAGCCTGTCATTACTCATACAGTTTTCCTGACCTTGTCTCATCTCTCTACCCGTACTAGTCATTATTGAGATTATCAGATTCATAAAGAGCAATAAATAACGCAGAATGATCAGGTAGAAAAATCTTAACTCATCTTTTATGAAGGATGTCGAATTTTGGTTCAAACATGGTTCCTGTTCTTTTGGGTGAAATGACAATGGCTTTAATTTTCCAATTCTGCAAGGATTCACACCTATAACATGCCTTCATCCCTTGGTATCTGTTCCGTTCATGCTGTCTTGAGCATGGTACACGGATGTCCAATTCTTAAAAAGAGGCGAAAGATACCAAACGATAATTTAAATTCATACGTCGAAAATAAACTGATTTCTGTGTCTCTTGTGAAGAGTTATCTCCTTGGCAATGATACCACATCTTCTTATTTAAATTGACAACGCCAAAGTTACAAAAAACAAAAAAAAACCAAAAAAAAATAAACAACTGACAACCAACAGTACACAGAACACAACATAGCTAACTAAAACCTGAGCAACACAAACTCCACCAATAACTAGAGGTGATATCAGGTGCCCAGAAAGGGTAAGCAGATCCTGCTTCACATGTGACACCCGGCATGTTGCTCATTTTAGATCAAACCTGGTAATAAGTCTAATTCGGTAGTTCACATTCGGGGAATGCTTTATAGTTACGACAATTGAAACTCATCCTTTGTCATCAGTGAAATGGATATTTCATAACAGTCTACAAATCGTGGTATCGTCCGTAAAATTTCCAAAAGGATGTTTTAAACTTCGCCGATTGGAACTCACGTTTTGATAGCTTCCGTGTGAGCAGCAACCCTCTAAAAGACAAACTGAAAGACTTGATACGGTGTTGTCTCATACAAAAGAAAAGCTAACGTAGATACTTGTATTAGGGGGATGAATCGTGCTTAAAATATAATTCCGATTTTATTAAAATATTCTCTGGAACTAATATCAGTAAGATGCTTCATTTTTTTCTTGAGTATATATATCCAACATGTCCAAGATGATACGATATCCAAGCGCTCGTCTTCCCTATCATGATTTCCTTGATATAGGGTTGCTGTTCACTATAAATGGTGACGTTGAAGTCATCCTTTCGTTCAATTTTACGGACGCAATCATTATTTGGTTGACCGTTAGGCAATATCTGTTGCATAGATAACGACAGATATGTTCAAATTGTCAAACTTTATCCCGACTCCTTTTCCCCGAATGTAACCTATCGAATAAGAATAGATACCGAGTCTGTGCTCACATAAGTAACACGACGATTGCCACATATGAAGATGGATTTGCTTATTCTTCAGGCGTATATGTCAATCGTAGTTTAGGCGGGGTTCTTGTTGCTCAGTCTTTACCTTTCTCTGTTGTGCTTTGTTATGTTGTTTGCCTGTTTAACTTTTTTTTGTTTTAGCCTTTCAATTGTATGTTTTGTATCTTTGGCCTCTCTTTTGCATCTGTGCAGTGCTAAAGAATTCTATTTTCAAGCCTTCCTTTTTATTATTGTGTGTGGTGTGGTGGACCCCTCTCCCAAAATATCTGCTTGGCATTGTTGAAAGACAGAACAGCATAATCATAATTAAGCTGGTTTGACTAATTTATCAAAGTAAAGGTCAAAGATAACTTTCAGGAAAGAGGTCAAAGAAACTAAGGAAAGTTCTATTGTATAGTTTGAAATATTGTTTGAGTGTTGCTTATTCAGTGTCATATATTTCATGTATATTAAGGGCGAAAACAAACTAATACAGTCCTTGGATGGTATAAACTTCCCACTAACACCATACACCATTACACCATTCAACATACACCATAACACCATACACCTTGTGCCATTACACCATAAACGTTACACCTTTGCACCATACACCTTACACATTACACCATTATGCAATTTAATTTCAAAGAAAGCGTGCGACTACAAAATTATTCATCTATTTCAAAAAACGAATTTTGATCACAATATTGTAAATTAATGTATTAAATTAAAAATCAGTTCTTATATTTTTAAATGTCGTACACCATTCATTCACACCATTCCCAATCGCACGTTACACCATTACACCATTCCCCTTACACCATACACCATAGCACCATACACCTTCTATCATTGTACCATATGCCATACACCATAAACGTTTTTTTGGGAAGTTTACACCGTCCAAGGGCTGTAAAGATAAAGGCAAGTTAAAAATGTTCGGGAATGTCACTGCCGCTAGCAAATGAAGATATATTTGTAAGGATTGATATAGCATCTACGGACTCCTCAAAGATATGACAAGGATTCGTTAATGCACGGAAAGAGTGGTATCCTCCGTAAACAGGGTATTTAAAAAGAGTCGCGTAAAACATCCAAATTCCAACCGGACGTGACTGCGTCATTACACATCCCACACAGTTCATTGGCAACTATATTAGCGTAGCGGAATATAAAATATACTGTATTTAGTGAAAGCGCGTGATAAATGAAACCTTTACACAAAACATTCAGCCAAGTCAATGTTATCTCTGTGCACTTGTTATATAAAATATGTGTATAAAATTTAAATTACATTTTCTTGCAGACAAACACGTACATTGTAAATGGAGACACACGATTTAAAGGCACACTCGAAATGCACTAGTAAAACAAACAAACAAAAACATGCAAAAAAAATGAAAGACAGACATTGAGCAAACTAAATTTAACCTTTTAAAGAAAAAAATTGTGCATACATATATTTGAGAGTTTCAGAAAATATCCCATTGTGAAACCCAAACCCTAAAGAATATTTAAATCAAAATTTCAAATGTGTAGTTGTTAAAGATAAACATTAGAAAATAAGTTTTGTAATGACATACATGTAAGCAATTTTCGTTTTTTTCTCTTTTACCATATTATTTTAGTATATATCTTTTTTAACTTACTTATCTCTTTTATACAATTTTATAAATAATACGCGGACGTTCGCGATCCTAGCCAAATAATAAGTATTATTTCAATATGAATCGTTTGAAAACAAGAGAGAGTGTATCCTACCTAAACTACCATTATGATGATAATTTCATTTTTAGAACAGGAATAAGGTTCCATATTTCATTTTTGTTTTACATATTATGGAAGAATTTACAAAATGAAATTAACTCGAAGTTTTCTTTTTATAAGAATTACAACTCTGCTGTTTGCAGAAGAACTGTAGTAACTCGATAAAAAAAGATAATAATGCTTTTCTTTGTTTCTAATTACTATAATAAGAACATGAAGAGGTATTTAGAATGCTTAAATATAACCAAAGAAATTTTTATGATTAATAACTGTCTTCTTTTCTTAATAAAATCACCAATTTAAGAACAATATTGATGATGTCTACAAGAGTAGACCTTGGGTTGATTGTTTTAAATTCATTTGCCATAAGGTAGTTGTGTGTTAATAATTTCTCGAATATTATATTAATGTGGTTTTAGAATCTGAATACAAAGAAATATACATGTTGGGTTGGGTAAATTGCACAGGAAAAAACATATCTGAATATATTAAATGATGCATTTGATATACTAAGTACTTCATCAAATGTTGAAGGAACATTATTTCATTAGTTGAATGATAAAAAGATGACAAGAATCAGATGAGAAGATTTTTTTTTGACATTTCATTTATCTAAAAGGGTTTCATGGTTTATGGCTTTCTGTGCGTTTTTTTTTACAACTGATTTTTTTGTCTTCAGTTCATTTGATGAGGTTTACCTTAATTACATGTATATTTGATAAATAACTGGTATCCATGTTATTTATTAAGATTTCAATGAAATAATAATCAATATAAAATTTCAAATTCACACGAAAGAGCATTGTTTATTAGAACATGTAGAAGAAGTGATTACCTAATTTTCACGTTATTTGTTACCCCTACTTTCCTCCAACTTATTTCTGAAAATAGTGTTATGTTATATATATATATATATTCACATGATTAATTTCGATCTGTTTTCACAAAAAGTAATTATTTTTTGTTATTTTGTTGTTTTATAGCGCAGTATATCATCAATTTCAAAATTACAAATAAATCTCATGTATGAATGAATGTTATACATCCTTGACTAAAAAACATATATACAATGCTATAGAAGGCTAAACTAATGATGGTTCACATGGACTTAATAGTGAAGAATACACAATAAATATCTATACAGTTAAGCGAACTTTAGTTGTTTCAACTGTTCTCGTACTGGTACTTGTAAACTGTTTCGAAGATGAAAGCAAACCCGTTTCAATCACAGTGGTATCAATGTTTTCAAAAACAAATCGGAAATCGGACATTGATTGAATATCTTTCATCCCAAACTGTTCTCTGATTGTTTGGTAGAAAGTAGTCGGACAGTGAAAAGCTAAATACAACAATTATGATTTTGCACAATTCTTACTAGTTTCCTTGTCTACATTAGAATTAACACAAGTATATGTGTTTTGAAAATAAATTAAACAGTCAACATGCACGACTTAGTGTTGACAAATATTCTCTTTGTTTAAAACACACCCCATATACATTATGTATTTTAAGATGAAAAAATCTAAATTAATGTGTTCAAAATGAGTATGAAGACATATAAGATATAACATAATTGACATTCAGGACATAATATATAAATAGTATACAAACAATATATTATGTCCTAGCTGACTTGGAGTTACATTTAGTCCATTGCATTGTATTTTATAGGCAATACCAGTCCACGTCCACTCTGTGTTTTGGTTAGATGTATTTCTATTTGTATCCATCTGATGCATTACGCCTTTTTCAACTGTAGTTTGTTCTCATGTTGTATTTTTGCACCACTGTTCCAGGTTACGGGAAGATTGGCGCCTTCAAACGAGTTTAACACAGCCACATTATGTATGTGCCTGTTCAAAGTCAGGAGCCTTTATTTCAGTGGTTGTTGTTTGTTGCTATGTAAACATATATGTTTTCCGTTCATTATTTTGTTGATGAATTAGGCTGTCGGTTTTCTCCTTTGAATTGTTTTACATTTGTCATTTCGGGGCTTTCTATAACTAACTATGCGGTTTGGACGTTGCTCATTGTTGTAGGCCGTGCAGTAATATATAGTTGTTAATTTCTGTGTTATTCAGTCTGTGGTGGCGAGTTGTCTCATTGGCATCATACTACACCTTCTTATTTTTATAATCTCATCAATATGAAGAACAAGAACATATACATAGTATTATTATACGGTACCCGTTTGCTAAATAAATATGAAATGCTGTCAAATTCGTTTCTTTACCTTTCTTTTAAAATATTTATTTTTGCTAAACAGAAAACAGATAACCAAATGTCTCCTTGTATGTTAGGAAACCATTGCTTATCGATTAGAATAATATGTGTTTGCCATTTATTCATTTGCAGTTTTACTGTTACATTAAAAAAAACTTGATCGACTTCGGGAAAAAACAATAATGGTTGCAGTTCTGTTTCGAAAGAATTGTATAGTTAACTCTCCCCTCATTTAACACCACGGAATCTTAAGTGAAGACAGAAATTCTGTTTGATCAACAGAATTCGAACATGGAATCACGGCTTTGTCCAAACACGAACAATCACTCACTCAATCAATATTTTTTTTAATTAATTTCGGTTCAAACCATTTGGCTGATATTTGATTGTGTTTATTTCGATGATTAATATGAAATAACCTCGTGGACAAGGAGCTTAAGAAATGCAATGTCCTTTCCTCTCAACGTCTTTACCTACCTTCTGAAATAAACGTGTTCATGCATTTAAATGTACGTCGTGTACGGCCGATGACTATGCTACTTAGACACATCTCTTGGTAAAGTAGCAACCGTAAGCAGGGGACGTCGTTTGCTCCATTCCGTTAGGATCAAACAGTGACGTTTCAATAATAAGATCCAATATTACGCTGACTTAAAAGAGGGACGAAAGATACCAGAGGGACAGCCAAACTCATAGATCGAAAACAAACTGACAACGTCATGGCCAAAAACAAAAAGACAAACAACAGTACAGATGACACAACATAGAAAACTAAAGACTAAGCAACACGAACCCCACCAAAAACTGGGGGTGATCTCAGGTGCTCCGGAAGGGTAAGCAGATCCTGCTCCACATGTGGCACCCGTCGAGTTGCTTATGTTATTACAAATCCGGTAAATAGTCTAATTCGGTAAGTCACATTCGTGAAAAGGGAAGGGTATTGTAGTTACGACATAAGGAACATATCCGATATCATCTGTGAAACGGTTATTCCATAACGGTCAACCAACTCGTGATGGCGTCCGTAAAATTTACGAAGGGATGACTTCAACTTCACCATTTGGAACTCTTGGTTTAATAGCTTCCTTGTGAGCAGCAATCCTCTATCAAGGAAATCATGATAGGAAACACAAGCCGGGGATAACGTATCAATTGGGAGATATATACTCCGTATGCAGGCGCTGCTGGAATGTTGCTACATAGAAATGCAAAGTTCACAATTGGGAAGCTGAAATCATCTCTTTTGTAGTAAAGTTTTGTTTTCAACCGACCCTCATTGTCAATTTCTAGATGTAAGTCAAGATATGAGGCAGACTTAACAGTATCTGTAGTATCCTGTATCTCTAGTTCGATGGGATAGATTCGTTCAACATAGTCACCAAATTTTGTATTATTTAGTGAGAGAACATAATCTATATAGCGGAACGTAGAGTTAAAGGATATTGCTAACTTCTTATCTCTCTTCCTAAGAAGCTCCTGTATGAAGTCAGCCTCATAATAATAAAGAAACAAGTCGGCAAGAAGAGGGGCACAATTGGTTCCCATTGGAATTCCGACAGTCTGTTGAAAAGCACGTCCTCAAAACGTAACAAATATGTTGTCAATCAAGAAATCAAGCATCTTGAAAATGTCAGTTTCAGAGAATTTTTTGTTTGAATCAGAGTGATTCTTTACAAAGTAGGATTTATCCCTCCCCAAGACAAGATACTTGTATCTACGTTCGCCATTCTTTTTAATAAAACAAAGTAATCCCAACTCTTTCAATTTGTCTTTTAGTTTGGAATGGGGTATACTTGTGTAAAGTGTAGAAAAGTCAAATGTTTTAATACTATTGCAAGATGAGAGAGTCTTAGATTGTATGTACTCTAAAAGATCTTTGGAATTTTTTAGTATCCACATCTGATTCACGCCACCTCTAGAATAGGCAGTTTCACTATAACTTTGGAGCCCGGCTTTGATTGCTGATAAAATAGATGTTAATAATTTAGAAAGAGGTTTCGTGGAGCACTTGGAAGACCCAGCAATATACCGTTGTTTGTAAGGACGCTTATGTAGTTTAGGTATCCAATACAGTGATGGAAGATCCAGTTCTTCGTCTTTGGTTGAAATTCCAAAGGAACATAGAACAGACCTATGATTATGTAGGATTTCCTCTTTGGTAAGTGTCGTGAGGGTATATGTTGAGTTTCCAAGTGAATTGTCAATACCTAATTCATTTATCAAGCAGTTTATGTAATGATATTTACACACAAAAACGATGTTGTTTGGGGCTTTATCTGCGGGGACAACAACATATTTTTCATAGAGGTAGGACAAGTGTTTTGCAACATTTGGGTCTTTAAAAATTGATGTAGCGTGGGTATTGATATGCCTATTTAGTTTCTTAATTCGGATTTGTATCAACGACCTCACAGCCTTAATCCATTCGGAAAGAGTATCTACGTCTTTTTTCTCGCGTTTAGCCCATTGCCTGGCATAATCCTCGACTGAATCCATCAGTATTTTGAAGTTGTATTTCCAATTGATGGATTTAGGCTCACGATATTTCGGACCTTTGGATAACAAATTTCGCAGGAAAGTGTTATCGACAATGTTGAGGTCTCCGGTAATAACGTGGCCAGCCGGATTATATGTGAATTGGGAACTAGCACAGGTGCAATCAGGAGGTTTAGACTTGAAGTCGTCAATGTTGAGATCCTGCAAAACGTGTTTGTAATTGAAAATTTTAGTTGCAATTGGTTTGGTATAGGTATTAGAAATTATTGGTACAGACTGATCTTTAAAATAAGAAGATATTTTCGACTGAACTAATTTATGATGAAGGATATTGCCTAAGTTGACGCCATCGAGACCTTTGTTGGCAAAGGAAAGTTTAAGAAAAGATCTTTTCTCTTTTTCATCTTTTCCAATGCGAACTGGTTTGAAAAGTCTGTGACTTGCAATATCCAAAATAATAGCTGTAAGTTTGTATTGGTTTGAATGAGGGTTTGTAACCGTGGTTTCCAAACATAAATTGAACAGAGAATGAAGTTTTGAAAGGGGTAATAAAAGTTTTGTGCGAATGTGATGAATACCTAACGGCTTTTGTATAAATGGCAGCAAGTTATTAATAGAGACATCATGCAAAGTAGGTGATGTATAATGACGATGACCATGACTGCGTCTACGTCGAGGAGTAGAGTTGAAAATATTCATCACATTCACCGAGCTACAGGAAGGACTAGATAGAATACCTATACCATCAATTTTGTCATTGCAACCATATGGTGTCGCAGTTCCCAATTGTCGAATCCAGTAGTCCTCTTTTTGTCTACGGAGAGGCGTTGCAAGTTGAGGATTGTTAGTCTTGTGGTATATTTTTTCGATTATACGAACTGTCATAGAAACGATGGAATGATCAGGCTGATAAAAATGCTGGTACAGAATGTCGTTTGCATTGAGGTTAATATCTGATCTATGGCCGCACATACGTTTGTTTAGCCTTCCTTTCGTTTCACCGACGTAAACCAATCCACAAAGGTTACACTCTAATCCGTAGACGACATTTATAGATTTACAATTCAGATCATCGTAACTTCTAGTAAAGTAAGACTTTTTAGTTAAATTGCTAGTGAATTGAGCGTCTGTTATTAAAATTTCACAAGTTTTGCAGCCATTAGTTCCACATTTCGAAATGAGACAGTGTTGTTCAGAGTCATCAAAATCCAAAATGTCTTTAAGGAGAACTGAACATGGCTGTGTATGTGTACTATTGCTATTGTCACTAGTATGATGATCTGAATAAGTCATGTTTGGGATATTTGTCATGTCTGGAGATGAGGGGACACCTGCCTTATCAGACGACACCGTGTCCATGGTGACGTCTGTTTCGGACCTTTTTATACTGGGCGACTTCCGAGCCAGTATCCTGTTAGATCTTCGTAAATTCACGCAATTTTGCTACTGGGCGGATGATGTCCTCGGGGACAAAATGTCCACCAGCAGAGACATCGACCCAGATGGCCAAAAAACAAAAAGACAAACAGACAAACAACAGTACAGATGACACAACATAGAAAACTAAAGACTAAGCAACACAAACCCCACCAAAAACTGGGGGTGATCTCCGGTGCTCCGGAAGGGTAAGCAGATCCTGCTTACCCTTTTCAATAAGAGTAGAAATTTATCAATAAGAGTAGACACTGACCAACAGAGCTAGAATAATGTTTCTTCTAGAGAACCATTGCATTTAGATTAAGCACGTTACAGTTCCAGTAATGATGTTGGAATGTACGAAGCAGGGTTATATTCACTTATCTTTAACATTTAAAAGATAACAACTACTCTTTATTTTCTACAAATTACTCATAAAACTACACATTTCTATATGAAAAAGATGTTGACCAAAATTCGTAAATTTTAATCTTTGCAGAATGGTTATAGATTTTGATAGAGCTAGCAAATACTACCGTCCGCCAATTTTAAAACAAGACATTCGCAAACAATAAGTTGATTACCAATTTTGTTAAAGTGTATTGTTTTAAAGAAATATTTTCAATAAAAAGATAATATTGCATCAACTCGTATTAACTTATAAGTTTTTTAAATATTCTATATTATATATTACTTGTATTCAAATATTTGATAAAAATTAGTATTTTTGTTTTTATTTATTTTTACAATCAGGCCCAGTATCAGAATCAGTTACGAAATGAGATTTAAAAATAATGCAACAGAATACGTACTGCGAAGATAAAACATATCTTTCCGAAGAATCTTATCGTTAAGCCATTCCTCTACTTGGGAAAGTGTCTTCGAACTGTGAATTTCATTTGTCCGGTTTTCTTTTGGGTTTTCATCTGACACCCAGGTTGCACCTTTGGCAAAGCTGGCTGTAACAACAGAAAGGATGTGTTTGTTCAAACCTATTGCGCATGGTAAAAGAGAGGCGAAAGATACTAATAAGGATAGTCAATGAAAGCAAACTGACAATGCCAGGACAAAAATAAAGGACGATCAAAAGACAAACAATATTATGTAAAACACAACATGAAACGCTAAAGACTGAGCAACAACAATCCCACCAAAGACTGAGAGTGATATCAGGTGCTCTGGAAGGGTAAACAAATCCCGCTCCACATGTTACACCCGTAAAGTAATATGTAGTAGTTTCTGTGATGTTCTTAAAATTCACTTACCTGAAAAAAATCAGCTAAGGTAAAAGGGAAAGATTTGATTAACAGGGCAGAAGTTTTCAGTGATACCAATTTTGAGTTTCTGATTGTAAATAACGAATCTTTTTCGAACGTCCGTCAGAAGTTTTCTGTTTATGAGCACAATTGCATTAATACCATTTGTGTACTGAAATATCAATCCACCAAACTCAGCACATATGTTGTCGGTCAAAACGTCCAGCATTTTGATAGTATCATCTTGGATGTATTTATTGTTGTAATCTGCGGCATTTTGTAAAAAAAAGTAAGATATTCCATGACCTTAAACAAGGAACTTTTATCAACATCTCCTATTTTTAAAGAAACAGCCCTTTTTTAAAAGACAATCTAGTTGATCTTTCAATTGAGCATTGGGAATAATGATATAAAGATAGTAGTATGCAGCATGTATACTATATGTACCCTACACAATTAATATATTGAGAATTCCAATATCGCAACAAAATTTTTAAAAAATCTTGTTTTTAATACATTTCATCGATGGCAATGTATTTGGCATTTTCCATATACATTTGACTCCTTACTGTCACTGACCATCTGAAGCTATATTGTTAACATTGATACTTTATTTTTGTAGAATTAAATTGACAACGTCGTGAAAGACAGCTTGTTTTGTTGAATATTTACTTCAACGACAAAAATTCGAAAATGAGTAAGTTTTTCCGCTTAATATTTCATTTGAATGATTTTAAGAGCGTCATGAGAACAGAACACCCATTCTATATCTCTTATTATCTACTCAGATCGGAAAGGAGTAGATATGCTTTGCATCGCCTTGCGTTCTACTTTTTTAAAAAATAATGCAACTGAGTTTATATTTTGAGACAGTAACTAGTTTTCTATATTTTGCATGAACATAGATTACGTTATCACACTTCCACTAAAATAAATTATTTAAATAAAGCAAAACTATATCTGACGTTTCCTTCACGAAAGTTAAGAATTGATGCTTTAAACATGTGCATCATTAAATGTTACGATACTTACTTCATATTCTCTGTAAGGACATACTTTATTTGAAGAGTTAAAGCAAGCAACGTTTACCATTACAAAATGTTACGATACTTACTTCATATTCTCTAGATCTGTAGGGAGATACTGTATTTGAAGAATTAAAGCAAGCAACGTTTATCAACAGGCAAATAGACACGAACAGTATAAAAAATAGACAGAGACATATTAGCTGAAATAGTATCTCAGAGGTTTTACCACGGTTTAGACTAGGGGATTGTTGTGGAGATTGTTGTGCTTTCATAACCTGCAAAAAATAATACGTAGTATAACAATGTTTGATTTACGATATAAGATAATATTTTTTAAAATGACAAACAATGTGCTAAACATAAAGGGCGACTATTTATGTCGGGATAAAGATTATAAACATTCGGTAAAATTCCCAAGATATTCTGAGCTTAAAACTGTGCATGCAATGTTAAGAACATAGAATCATACTAAGAAATTTAATTTGGAAGTCTGAGATAAGACACACATTCTCGCTCCTTTTTGTTAATATTAATAAAATTGAGAATGGAAATGGGGAATATGTCAAAGAGACAACAACCCGACCAAAGAGCAGACAACAGCCGAAGGCCACCAATGGGTCTTCAACGCAGCGAGAAAATCCCGCACCTGGACGTGATCCTCAGCTGGCCCCTGAATAAAATTGTGTACTAGTTCAGTGAAAATGGACGTCACACTAAACTTCAAAACATATAAATGAACTAAAATTAAAAAACATACAAGACTAACAAAGGCCAGAAGCTCCTGACTTGGGACAGGCGCAAAAATGCGGCGGGGTTAAACATGTTTTGTGAGATCTCAACCCTTCCCCTATACCTCTAGCCAATGTAGAATAAAGAAACACATAGCAATACGCACAGTAAAACTCAGTTTAAAAGAAGTCCGAGTCCGATGTCAGAATAGGTGACAAAAGAAACTAAGCAAAATGACAATGATACATAAATTAACAAAGGACTACTAGCAGTTACTGACATGCCAGCTCCAGACCTCAATTAAACTGATTGAAAGATTATCTTTTCATCATATGAAAATCAAGTACAATCCCTCCCGTTAGGGGTTTAGTAACATACAATCATAAAATATATGAGAAGAACATAACCCGTATTATGCCAACAACTGGTTTTAGAATAATAGTGTTTATTTCCGATGCAAAGACCCTATGAGTGAATCAATATTAATACCACATTAATCTTAATAATGATAGTTTGTTTATACAATCTCTATACTTCTCGTTGTGAACGATTTATCACCATATCATATGAAATGTTCATATTTCTATACCATACTAGATAAACCAAACATACTTAAAATGTTGAATGACCCGTATTCCAAAAACAAATGGGACTATACTTCAAAACTATAAATATCTAAAAACTAATTCATGTTGCATTTGCCATGCGGACGAAATATATAATTTACATTATCAGTTCTGGGTATCCAATGTTGGCTTAAATAAATGTTTTACCTAGTACAAATGTACATATGTCTACAATATTTATTGAAATTTTTTGTAGATCTGACATAACACTGCCTTTATGCATTATGTGTACGACGATTTGATTGTCAGTTCTCCATAGACCCTTTTGACCTCATAAATAGTTCAATTTCCACCTAAGCATTCTATAATCTGCACCAAGTTTGCGCCAAGTTACTTTTCACTTGTTCCTCAAATTTCCATAAACATATTACTTCGCTTTTTGTTTTGTAATCTAAAACCTACCGAAGCCTGTACCACAGCCATCAGTGTACACCACACTAACAGTTCCTTTCAATTGAGGAACACTACGTTTTCCTTCAAGTAAACAACTTCATCGAATGCCATTTCATTAGTTTAACTGGCGAATCCTAACTAGCTTTTTGCGTTAGGCATTCATAAAGAATCCTAGTTCTCAATCTAACCCATAGCTGCTTGCATAGAAATTATCTGACCTACTAATGAAGCCGCTTACCTCGCGTTAAACAAACAGTTTCATAAAGAATGAGACAACTCTCCACCAGAGACCAACCTGGCAATAAATATAAAAACTAAAGGTCATTGTACGGCCTATAATAATGAGTAACAACCAACAACGAAAAGTACGTTATAAAATACACCGAAATGACAAATATAAAACATATCAAATATCCAGATTTATGTACAAAACAATGAACGAATAACAGTAAGCAAAAAATGTCTACTGCAATAATTCATTCTATTAATTGTGATAATTCTTCCTTACCCAGCGATAGCTGGACTGTATTTTTTTTTTTAAACAGTGTCAAAATATCTGCAATTGATCTATACGTATGCATTCATGAAGGTGTCATATTAATGAATTACTGAAATCTCTCTAAATATTCAATACACACTTTTTTCAGCGACAATCTTAATCCCCGTTCCCTTTTCTGAACATGGGGTAAATATTTTACACAAGTTCAAATTAACCAAAAAGTAAATAGAAGTTTTACGAAGTGTAGAGTTATATTATACTTCGTGGTAGGATTCAATTATCTGTTTTGATACATCTTCCACTACTCCATGTATGTAATGTACATGTACACATATGTATAATATTTGTATTTAAGTCTGTTGCTGATATTTACATATTTAAGCACTAAAATATTCAGTGGTAAACATTTCATATATATTCAGGATCAAAACACATTGATAAGAAATACAATAGGATAGTCCTGTTACAGAGGCCTCTCGGACGTACGTCGGGGAAATGTGGACTGCCACTGGCAAATGAGGATATGTTTGATAGAGACAGACATTTTGCATTGTAACAGGCAACCTCAAAGAGTTTCTCATCGTACAAAGATCGTTTCACACCATCTCTACATCGAATTTAACGTTCATATTCTGACGTCATTGCCGCTTGTTCGTCTCACACAGCCAATTGGAAGCCCAACTTTAATTAGGGTTTTACTGCCGGTCATATAAATGTTTAAAGTGACCAATTTCTATTCCGTAGACATCTTTGAGGACAGTGACATTACCAGTGACATTTTTTTGCTTTTAAGTGTTTATATTATATTAACCTTTTCACTATCAATAAAGTTAAAATACGTTTTTGAATACGTTTTAAAGGCTTGAACAGTGTTACTAATTTTGCAAATTCAGGAGCCGAATAATAGCTTCTTTACCTCATCATTTGTATTTGACATTGACAATATTTGAAGCAATATTAAATACAACACTATATACGATATTGATATGCTCAAATTCTAAGATATTTGAAATTATTAGCTATTACTGTTTAGCAAACCTTAATTTCGAAATTACCGTAATTTAAAATCTATTTTGACACAAGGAGATTATGTTTTGTGCTTCAAATATTTAAAATTAAATTAAATACAGTATAAAATATTGACTGAAACAAAAGAAAGATAGCACCTTTATAATTTTTTTCTCTGAAATATACAAAGTTATATCCAAAGTCTTGCAAGTTGTTTTATTCTTTATTTTTACGGGTTGGGGATAAGCTCTCCATATCAAGGACGAATTAAGAGAAACTGTATTGTATCCAAAGCTTTGCTGACCGCAATTTGTTGTTTTATTGTCGCAAATTGAGTTTACCTAGCGATGTTTAGCGATGCGTCAGTTAAACTACTGATAGACGTCGGCAAACTTCAAATACAATACAGTTATCTCGATTTTAATGAAAAATTAACAAATTATTTTAATGAAGTCATTATTTCGATGTAAAATGTTCATAGAACGAAAATTCCGCGAAATGATGGTATCTTCTTTAGCACACAAACTGGCTGACGTCATATGTATGCATGCGATGTCAAACTTATACATCGCCCGTCTTCTGGCTTTTTCTCCGCTAGGAAATGTAAATATAAAGAAGATTTTTAGATGCAAAATGTGAGTTATATTTTTCAATTAAAGTGAAATTCTAATGCAATTGTTGTGTATCAATGGTTCTGATGGATGGCAATCATAAATCGTTTTGTGTAAATCAAAATTCTTCGATAACATGAAACTAATGAGGGTTCTGTTTTTTTCTATATCATTGAAAACATTTGAGATATAAGGATGTGTTTGTAATGTTCTATTCATTCACTATACTATACACAGTTATATGACCTAACACTACTTTCAAATCGTACGTTAATTTACAATAAAGATTAAAAAAGTACATCACATAGATGAATTTATAGGGTGTGTATTACTATGAATAATTATTACAATGATTGAAATAAACACATGATGAATACCCGTGATTTTCCAGTCAAATTAAAATCGATAAAGTCACAGGTATGAAAAGTCTTATAAGTTCCCTCATCTGTCTGTCAAGATATTGTCAATGACATTGCATCAAAACAGTTTGGAATGCGTATAAAAAGAAATCGTTCTACTTGTATTCGTGAAATTATGTGCTGCTTGGTCACTTTCTGAATATTTCTAAACTTGGAATCTCGGACGAGTTAATCTATAAATAATACAAAGCCATGATATTTTTCGGAAGTAATATAAAAAAACAACTAAAAAGTTCGATTTTTAGAATAAATTGCATTTAAAATGAAAAAAAGTTGCATTTAAGTAAATTTGTATTGCAAAGGGTGACTCATTTAGATCTAATTGATTGTACCAGAATACTAGTTTGTATTTACTTGTAAAATATTCGTCAATGAGGTGAAAAAACATGAACTATATGAAAGCTGTTTTTGTATCAATATTTCGGTTTCAAAAACATGTTACCTTAAGTCCATATTCATGTTTTGACATAGGACAAACCACATATTAAGTGCGATGTCATTGGCCAATAGCTCAACACATTACGACAACATAAAACCGAAAAATTTAATAAAGATGCCACTATCTACTTTGATATATATTTATAACCTATAGGACGTATACCTAATTTCACATGATATTAAACTGCACAACGTCTGTTGCAGTATTGTGTGAAATTTACTTTAAGATTTTAAATATTAAAAGCAATATATATAGTTCAATTGATAATCTGTTAATATAAGAATAAATGCTGTCATTTTATCTAGCTTTATCGTGTTATGCTAATCGTAGTCGTCGCTTGCTTTTATTTTGTACTAGAAGATGTCCGCGAAATTGAGGTACCATTGGGCAAGTGTTGAAATAAAAAGTGTTTCAATTTCGCCGGCAGTACGTTGACTGAGCATGTGCAAATGCGTATAACGCACGGACCGATAACGGTCTCCGAATTTGGATATTTTTTTTCAAAAATTGGCGTTTTGTGTGGAAAAAAAATGATTTAATGACAAATTTAGGAAGTAAATAATTTATGTATTTATGAGCTTATAAAGGTTATGACTCTTAAATTCAAGAGAATCGGCGACCGCACGTTGATTACAAGTTTTTATACAATTGGTCTGGAAAGGGAAAGGTATTATATAAGGTAATTTATGCTGTGTAATAATACTTGGATTTAGATTTCAGTCCTTTCTCTTTACTTTTTGGACATTTTAAAAGGCATTTCTTTAAAAAAAAAAGCATATTCTAAAATCCTTTTTTAATACGAACAAAAAATATAAAAGTAGATTAGTGACTTTTTTTTATTTTTTGATATTGTTAAATCTTTTGGATAAGGTATGTAATAAAACTTTATTCTATATAGTTCAGCAGGTCGAAGTTCCAACACAAATTATAGCATATTAAAAAGTCAGATACAATATATAATGTAAGTATTGTAATTTATTCTATTTGAAAAACGAAGAAATATTATGTTGCAGACAGTTTTACCCAATTTAGCCTATATGCTACAAATTGTTACAGTAAACAATGTTATTATCTAGCTTGCATCGAGCAAGGTTCACTCTGATTCTGCTTAATCAAAATAACGGTCATGGTTAAATATGTCAATCTCTGATTACATTAGACAGCTGATCTTCACAAGACGTAATCAGCTGATAGCCTGTTGTTAAGTCCATGGTGTAACAAACATAACTATACTATTGTCACGTAATATACGATATATACATGTTATTTGTTATATGATAAATAAATTGAGTATGTTCACATGTTACTTGTTTAATTGATAACGAATATAATTTGAGATTTCATTAAAATTTGTTACTCTTAATATTTGTAATTTGATTCAAAAATTAATTGCATTTGAAAAAAAAAAAACTACACCAATATAGTTCTTTCAACAACAAACCACGTAACTATCCTATATACTAAACAAATTGATAGCTTAATCTAATTAGCAATTACATATGAAAGAAAGGTTGGTTTTAAACCAATATTCAATACGATAAAAGAAACAGAAAAATATTGATAAACAATTCCATTATTTATATTCATAGATAAAGTCAACATTACAGTTCTTCATTTCTTCATTGTATATTTCATCAAATTTTTCATTTTGTGCTACAGTAAACCAGTTCTTCCAGTCCCCTATAACACCTTAAACGATAAAAGTAAACATTATATTACAAACTAATTTTAACATGATCGGATATTGATTTAAATGGCTAGGTTATTGAAGAGTGTTATATTAAGAAAAAGGTAAAAAAAAAAAAGTAAATAGTGAGTTAAGGATGTTCGCTAGTCTTGTTTTGACTTTCTGTCAGATATTTTAAATCCTCTGGTTTTATCCAAATACATTTGCCCGATTAACTCTACTAGTCCTTTCATTTTTTTTTATTTTTTATATCATATAGTTTTTAAAGCCATTTTTTGAAAATCGTTTTAGTTTGGAGACAGAGTAGTGAATATCCTTAAATTAGTTAAATGTTTATTTATCCATGAGGTGACTAAAAAATGAATTTGCCCGCTAAACTCTTTTATCCTTTTCATTTTTTTTTAAACATATAGTTTAAAAAGACATTTTTGAAAATCTTATAAAATCTGTTTTTTTTTCAGGTTTTTGAAAGACAAAAACTGACCAAGTTTTTTAAAAATCTAAAAAGAATAATTTCCCGCCAAATTTTCAACGGCTTATATTTTAAAATAAGGGACACAAATCTTGTATTTTTTTCTGCTTTTTTTAGTTCCGTTATATTTTGACGATCAATTTTAGGAATCTTGTAATTTTTTAAACAGAGTAGCGAACATTCTTTAACAAGTTAAATCTTTCAATTTTGTGGCAATATTTTCAATAAGATTTGTATGGCGATAAAAAACAAAAAAAATTTTTTTTTTCTGGAATAGAACGTCACTTCCTTCTTTCATTTAATCAAAGGAACTTGAGTATTAATACAGAAAGGCAAAACATCGCATGTCATCTCAGAAAATTGTGTTGTTGCTTTGACTGGTGTTCTAGAGTATACTATTAAAAATCTAATTTGTATTTTGAAATACATATATTGTGTATAAATGTATATAATTACCAGAACATTAAATAAACAACTTTTCTAGAACGGTTATTATTCTAAGTGTAAAGAACATTTATGCTCCAATCTCCCTTTACTCAACCTTTGAGATTAAGGTTTTATCCGGCATTTTTTGTTTTCATTAGGAAATGCCTGTACATTCAAGTCAGGAATATGACAGTTGTTTCCCATTCGTTTGATTTGTTTGAGCTTTTGATTTAACTATTTTATGAGGGACTTTCCGTTGTAAATTTTCCTTATAGTTCGGTATTTTTGATAATTTACTTTTTTTTTTAAGTACGAGGTAAAACAAGGGCTTTATTTATCCTATTCTTTTCTATTGAAAGAACTTGTATTATAAAGATTAACGTTAACTGCCTTTTCTTTAAATTCAAGGAAACACAAAACAATAAAACGAGGTATTCTATGGGGTCAATGATGTCGCAATAAATGTGTATTGATAAATAATTTAAATGATAGATTTAGGTAAATTTTTTATTACTTGTTAGACCAGCAGATAAAACATTTACATGGCATATGCAAGTACCAACTTAATAATTTACCACGATATTTGAGCAACTTCTCTCATGTAAATACTTTTTCTGAACGCGCATGCCATCATCATACTATTGCTTCAAGATATACCATGTTTGTCATAATTTGTAGAACAATTAAATTTATGCTATCTTTCAATCGCAAAATCTCGGAGTATAGTGATTAATAGATTGTTGTTTGCCTAACGGCCAGTGGAAAATATTTTTTGCACGGTTAGGACGAGAACAAGTTAAACATATTAAATAGGTAGGTCCTGTAAAAGAGGCCGTTCGAGATGAAGGTCGGAGAAATTCGGACTACCACTAGAAAAAGAGAAATTACGTCTTGTAACAGGCCACCTACGTACCTCTCAAAGAGTTGTTGCAATGGTTTTTAACGTGCACATAGCCTGGCACTTCTCCACACGAGGCATTAGATTGAACGTTCCCTATCTGACCGGACTTTGCTGCGAACTACCGCACAGCCAAATGGACTCCCACTTTACCGAGGGTTTTACTGAATTTTTTTAATCCCCAGCCACCCTTGGGGTTGTTTCCTCATGATATTGAAGCACATATTATCCATAACATTACTTGACCGTGTAAATCTTTTCTGAAAAAGCACTAAAATCTGTTCATATAAACAAGTGAATATTCCTGCGGAGTACGAATTTACAACGGAAAATAGCACAACATTGTTTTTGGTTATTTGGAATTTGTTGAACTTGGAACTTATCTACGCTTATTCAGAAATGTTACTCGAGCTGGACACAATTGAGTAGTTTCAAAATATTTAACACAAAACCTATATCATTATAACCTTACAGCAACTTTAGGTCAGTAATCATCATTCACGTTTAAAATTCAAATCACCTTTAAATTTTGTTTATAAAATGTTCCCCTTTTAAATAAATCAACTAACTTAATCCATTATGAGTTCTGCATAAGACAAAGGTACCATTTGAGAAATAGAGACCTGAATGAGAAGGACAGTAACCCAATACAAAGAACCAGTAGACATATAAGAAGTCACCTTATCTATTGGTATACAATTACCTTTTCGGAATAAAGTTGATTCATGTTTGGGATCAATTATTCTTGAGGAATCATACTTGTGCTTTTTGATATTATCAAAACTGCACTTCTCTATTATCTCTCTAATGAAATCGTCAGTGTGCGACACATTTAGAAACTTGGCTATTTTTTTAATCGTTGAGAACGGATGCTGAAACAGAGGGATGTAGACATTTTAATAAGAGTATCATTATCTAGAAGTGATGAACAGATACAAAATGTATGTTTATGATGGTATTTATCGTAAAAAAAATGATACCACTTGCAATGTAACCGAATATATTTCTACAATAGAGAACGGCCAATATGCATATAAGAGACTATGTCGATTCAAAGATATTTTTGTGTATAAAAAGCTTAATATATATATAAGAACATCAGTTGTTCGACTTGCTAGTCAAATGCGTTCTGTTAAATATACTTTTTCATTTTTTTGGTCTTTTGGAAAATGTTGTTTGTGCTGTATTTAGACCCCTCTACCAAGAAATTTGTTTTGCATGCACACGTATAAAAATTGCGGTTGAACGTTGTTTTCAATTTAGATTTCTTTATTTTTTTTCGTTTGGGCTTGTATTATATTTGCCTTCGGGTTTATATGATCCGTTCATCCTATTTTGACTCTTTCAAAAATCAAGAGGTAAATCATATGGCCTTCCAAATACCGTTTCGATTCCTAACATTACTGAAGAGACATTAATTGTCGAAATCCGGATATGGTGTACAAATTTTTGCACCTCGTGCTTGCGGTATACCATCTCATAGGGTAAAACGTTGTTTTCATTTTAGACTTCTATGCAAGTCTAAATTGAAAACAACGTTCAAACCTATTCAGAGGGGTCTCTTCAGTGGTGTTAGGAATCGAAACGGTATTTGGAAGACCATATAGTTTACTTCAATTTAGGATAGGCTCTTGATTTTTGAAAGAGTCGAAATAGGATGAACGGATCATATAAACCCGAAGGCAAATATAATACAAGCCCAAACGAAAAAATAAAGAAATCTAAATTGAAAACAACGTTCAACCCAATGATTGCGTTGGATAAAAACCGCAATTTTTATTCGTGTGCATGCAAAACAAATTTCTTGTTAGAGGGGTCTAAATACAGCACAAACAACATTTTCCAAAAGACCAAAAAAATGAAAAAGTTTATTTTAACAAAACGCATTTGACTAGCAGGTCGAACAACTTATGTTTCCAAAAGACCAAAAAAGTGAAAAAGTATATTTTAACAAAACGTATTTGAATATATATGTATATATATACCTTTAGTTAAGTACCAGTATATAAATCTTATTCTCTAGCGAAAAGCGCATATTTACAACTTTCAGAATGGTCAGGCTTTAGACGTCAAATAATTTGTAAATTATCTTAAATTGAAAAAAAAAATAAGCGGTAAGCATTCATGATTTGTTTAAAACTAAATGTTCACATCTGAATACATCAGTTTTTTTTTTTAAAGATAGCACTTGTTTTAAAAAAGGAATAATGTACAGATGGGAAAATTAAACATCAACATATGATTATATACACGAACACAACGCATCTACAACAAAATGCTTATGTTGCCTAAATATTTTGTTATACGAACAGAAAATAGAAAAATTAGCTTCAGGTTATACGAGTTTCAATTACGAATGTTTGAAACTTTATTTCAAAATAACAAGCTTTTTAAAAGACTGTTCTAAGTTGGAAGTATATGAACAAAGGAACTAAAAAAGCAGAAAAAAAAAATTGAAAGGTCCGTGTGCTTGTTTTCGAGATATAAGCCATCGTAAAATTGGCAGGAAATGATTACATGTATCTCTTTACTTTTCATAAATTTAACATTGGCACCGTTTTTTTTCAAAAAGCTATTAAAAATAACAAGGATTTTATGAGATTATAAATATGGCTTTTTAAACAATATGTAATAAAACAAGGAGTGGTTTTTGGGCAAAATTTTCATTACACTTCATTGATAAAACCAAAGGATTCCGAATATATGCAAATATTAAAAAAACAAAGAGGAGCGAACATCCTTAAATCAAGAAAAGGTATTATTTGCATGTATTAATTATTTACATTTGTTCGTGTATGCAACAAAAAAGGCGATCACATTAGTTAAGATGTCGCAAACGACAATTTGTTTAGGTCCGTTATCTTTCATAGATTGGTTTACGAATACTAGTGATTTACAAACTTAAATGATAAATGAGCTTGAAGGCCCCATGATGACTTCTAGGAGATATATCTATGTTTTAGGTACTGTAAGTCCATGTGTGGATGCTAATTGATTTAATACAAGCAGCTATTAATTTTTATAACAGAACTGAATGCTTCTTACTGTCATTTTATTGGAGTGGAGAAGCTATGAACGAAGTACATTTTAGAAAATATCACCACCTCAAAAATTTTTCGGGAGAAGAAAAAAATGTCAACTTGTGCACCTGTAAATAAACTGTGTATGACTAACTGAAAATTAGTAATTTGACTTTTCTAGTTTTATACGTAAAATTATGTAAATATAGTTGTTTGAACACTTACTAATTTCAAATCTTCATATTTGACTGGTAGTATATTTGCAGTTTTAGTTTGTGCCGCCTTTTCGAATACCCTTGTATAGTTGAACCAACCTCCTTGTAAGTCGTCTGAAAAGAAATTAATTCAGAATATATAATTTAAAATTATTAATTAACTTAAACATATTTAAATGTGTAACTGATGAATTGTGCTTCAGTTATGCGTTTAAAATTTGGAGAACACATTCGATTTACTCAATACTCATTGTATGTTTTCATGATTCAAATTAAGAACTCGGATTTTGATCAGAGAGCTTCTTAAAAGCTGATTTTAATTCAGATATGGATAGAGGTTTAAGCCCCAAAAAAATCACGACTAGGAAACAAAAGATATTTAAAAACTGTGTTTTAAAAACATAGTTCAATTATCAAAGACTTTTCAGAAGATACAAAAACATAGGACCCTTGTGGGTCGACTAGTAATCGTTTAGTAATTTGGTACGACTGTAATCCTTTACAAAACTTTGTACATTTTATATCCCCTCTAGTCAATACATTTCTAGACTACGACGACATGCAAAGCGTTTAACAGATCATTGGTCAATCAGTTTTTAAAGTATTCCAAATATAGTATCAAAATAAATATTCATGTTTACAGCTATCATATGTGTGACCTGAATCAGATAACTTCTAATCCTGCAACAATAAACATCAGATCATTCATTTGATTTCATTTGCTCATGACATGTCACAAAAACGAATTTGTTTTTTTTTACATAATTACGCTAACTTTTGATCCCTTTTCCATTTGCCAAAACATATACATATACTTATCTATCCAACATCCTCCTCGGGAACTACCTTTCATGTTCAAGCTTTACCTTACATGAGCGTCGAAAATATGAATAAAGAGGTTAAAGTAACTTGAAAGTTGAATAAGAAAGTCCCTAAAATAGTGGTATATAGAAACGGACACCAAAGGTTGAGTTTGTTAAAGATTCAATTTTGACCCAACGTTTGAATTTCAATATATGAACATTTCTTTAAATAGGCCCATTGTTATTTTTACCGGAATAAAGTTTTAAACTTAAACACATAGAAACTGAAGGCTTACACCATTTAAGGTCCACTATGCCTAAGAAAGTTGTAAGTGAACTTTAGTTTATGTAGAATTTACACAATTTTTCAGTTATTAAATTGAAAGTAAAGAATAGACTAGGTTGTCGTTTGTACATATCTTTAATAATGTTTTTCGTAGATTACATTGTACAAATTAGGCTGTTAGTTTTATTCGTGTGAATTGTTTCACATTTATATGTTTAGGCCTTTTATATGTGAATATACGGTATCGCTTTTTCTCATTGTTGAATACCGTAAGGTCACATATGAGAGCTTTTATATTCATTATTTCAACTTAGGCGGAAAGTTTTCTTATTGGCAATCATACCATATCTTCTGATTTTTCTATAGTGTGTAGAGTGGTCAAAGGCACTTGACACTTCATGCTGACACAAATCACAACATCCTTATATAAAATATCGGTGATTTCAAGTACAATGCTGCAATTCTGTCATTCTCAATTATTGTTATGATTAACTATAGACGACAAGTGTGGTTTACAAGTTCCATCATTGTAATGCTCAATTCAAGACTACAAAATAAGTGTGATATATGTACCTTTAAGGATTATATTATCAAAGAATTCATCCCATGTCCAATCAGGAACTCCAAGCTTTCCATGAAGAAATGTGTAGTTAGAAACCCATCTATCTTTCGGATTTCGATTGAGATATATAATTTTGTATCCATTTCTCACATGATGAATTGGTATGTGATGAAAAGGCAAATGAGTTGTGAATAGTCTAGGGTTATCTACTTCATCTAACTTATCAAAGAAGTATGCAATGAAGTCCAAATACATGTGATGTAAAGGACCTTTTGTGTTATATTCTAGAGACTGAGAGAGTAACATTGACAATATCTCATGGCACCAGTGTGTTCCTGTAAAAAATATTTGTTGAACTCTTTATCTGTGTTGGCGTGATCAAAGCGAAGCTGCATATTTAAAACAAAACTAACATTCGATATTATTAAAACAGCAGACGAGATCGATTCATATATATTTGTAATAATTGTTTGAGGCATGAGTACAATGGTACAAAAAAGTCAATCTCGGTTTTCGTAGAATAAATGTGAGACTTTTTTCAATAACTTTAACCCATACTATCATAATCATAATAAGATTGCAACTATATTAAAGAGAGTCTCAAGATACCAAAGTGATGTTTTCAAATAAAAACGACTAATAATCTAGAATTGGCATCGCATCAAATCAGATAAGTATATAAACACAACATAGAAAATAAAAAACAAAACGAACGCCACCAAAAACCGGGCTGATCTGAAAATAAATATATAAACACGGAACACAATAAAATGTATTTTACTTGAAATATTGGCTAAGTTTTCAAAGATTCCGAAATTTCTCACATTAATAATTATTAAAACATCTATCGTAAGACATTTTGATTTCCTCAAGAATTGAACGCACCTTTTTCCAATTTGAAGTGTTAGCGGTATCCAATGCATATATTCAACAAACCAGATGCGTTGTACTTTATATAAATGACGAAAGTTCGATCATCTCTTATACGCCTATTCAATTATCATACGTCCATGCATTTAATTATTTTACCGTATTAATCGTGTAAAGTACGCAGTTGTGCATAATATGCACTCATTTTTCATTTCTCCAAAATTGAGAAATTATGAAATAAAAAATATAAAAAAAATATAGAGTAAAAAAATTTAAAAAAAAAGGAAAAAATGAAATAAGAAAAAAAACATAAAAACATAAAAAACAAAATTTTTGAAAGAAAGTCTTGTTTACTGTAAAAAGCAATAAATGGGGAACTTTTAACCATGTATTTAATCTTCATTTAAGTCTTTCAAAAGATAAGAATAATATAAGATTGATTGTTCAATCAAATTAATTTGAATAACTTTAAAGACATTAACAATAAAATTGTAGAGCTTTTATTATGTAATTAGCATTTATTGATTTTATAAAAGTATAGTTATTAATTAAATATCCCTTTTCAAATAACTGTTTGCCTAAGCATGTCCAAGCTGATGCACTGTTCAATATTATAAAAAAAAATCATTAGAATTTAATGGAACAAAAGAAATAAGACCGTATTTATAAATTTTATTTTGGGTCGTACGTGATACACATCTTTTTGGTCGTACGTGATGCACATCATTTATTATTGGGATTGGCAGAAATAAAAACCTGATTTCATAGTTGTACACAGTAGTATATCTGTATCTTTTGTTTCGAGTGTCCGAACAGTTTCCAAAAGCTTTTCTATACCATGTTCTGTGATGTGGGGACCCGAAAGAAATGTTTCCTCTCCTAGTCGAGTAAATGGATAAATCACCACATCGGAATCGATAACGCTGAAAAATTAACACAAACAAACTTGAAAAAGACCAATATACATGTATATTACATGTATTAGGTGTATGAGCTACTGAGAGCGGTTAGTGTTTAATACCAACGACATAAAAGTCGAACAAAAATGGCATAGTTTTACCTACACACGTTTCTCGGCGGAACATAGGAGTCAAGATACTAAGCGGGAATACAACAAAATCATGACTAAAAAAATAAAGACGAACAAAAGTCTCTAAAGCACTATACTAAAAAATAATAATAAAAAAAAAAACACAAACCAAACCAAAAACCCGAAGTGAACTCGTGTGATCTGGAGTGGAGGACCAGCAGCAACTGCATCAGCAGATGGCATGACGTATTCAGTCTGACTCACTAGTCTTTAACATGTTTGTTATAACTATTGCCAACATAACTAGACGACAAATATTGATTTTTCATACGTTTGTCCTCCCGTGGACATACACATTTCATTGGTTATTCATACAGTTATTTGAATCTTTTGGAAATTTTAATGCAAATCGTAGATTTTATAACGGAAATCATAGAAAGTAGGAAAAAGATGTAGCCGACAACTCCGTTAATAATATGAAACCTTTTTTTTAGATAATCTGGCAAATAGTTTAACAAACATATTTATTGTTTTCTGTTTTTTCCGTGAAGATACATGAAAACTTTGGATAAATTGTATTAAAAAGTATGTTTAATCGTGGATATGCTGTAGTAATCCACTTTATTGATTGACTGTGATTTACTTACCGTCCGATGGCAAATATTTCAGGCATGTTCTGAACAGAAAATTAACAAACAAAACAATAGGTTCGTCAATAGTTGTCGACTGGAAAGAGAGCAGGAAATTTGGACCGCTGCTGGCAGATGAGTATACATTGGATAGAGATATAAATCAAGCAATGCAACAGGTCTTTTATAGACCACTCAAATATTTGTTAAAATAATTTAAGCTTTCTGATAGCGTGACACTCTCTCTACACGAGGCATTGAATTTCATATAACTATTCCGATCGGTCGTGGTTACGAACTTATTCATCAAGCAACTTACTTTGGCAATTGTTTTACTGCCGGTCGAAAACTAAGGAATTACCATATTTCTATACCTCAGTCAACCCTTGTGGTCTTAATCCACTTTGAACCAGATCTCAACCGTAACAAATACAATAACTGTTAAAAAAAACCAAAACCTTCCTCAAAATGCATATACATGCATAAACTTTTTTGAAATCTTAAACTTTTCTTATTGTATAGTTGCCAGAATTTCTTTTACGTCAAATAAACATATTTTAATACGAACAGAAGAAAGCCCTTCATCAGAATAATTTATAAGTATTAATCAATAAATTTTACCTTTCGTTATGTACTTTTTGGGGAACATCGTGTGTATCCGCCATTATAAGTTGTCAACTTGTGTACAGGTAATATTTGTGTTTGATATGGTATCATATACATGTAAGTGTATATTTACGAAGATTAATAAATGAAGATACAGCAAATAAATATTTTTGACAAAAGGTAATTGGCGGAACGCCGGCTATGTCAGTTAAATTGATAACTACAGATGAATATATAAATGTGCTTGTATAAAATTATTCGAGACTTCAATCCCTTAAATATCACAATAAAATGGTAATTTAACAACATTGTACATGGTTTAACATCCACAGTTCATCAGAGTTTAATGAAAACTATATAACTATGGTAGGGTTTCAGGTAAATTTAACATGTTTACTAAGTGAAAATGTCAATTTACCTCTATTGGTGTTTATCCCGTTTTAATAGTGTCTTGGTGAGCACTGTTTGTGTTTAAAAGGAGCAGCCCTTAGCCAAGTTTGAAAATCGGAGTGGATTGAGTATTTTGTTTGGGGGGATGTTATATTTTCCAATTCTTATCATGTCATGATCATTATAATATAAGGACTTATGTTAACTTTACAGTCAAATATTTTTTTTAAAAAGTGGTCTATGCATCCTCAACTTTACGTTGGAAGAAAAATCACTATAATTTAGTTTCAACAGACTAAAAGAAAGAAATAGTAGTTATTGATGATAAAGTTATTCTAAACATAATATATAACATACTTTTTAGCTTTCCTTATTCATTGCGATTAACACTTTCCGGGACTCGGAAACTAACGATTATAATAAGTACATTCTCGGATTAAAAAAATGATTGATGGTATTTTACCATAAAGCTGTACATGTACATGTGATCTCATCAACTTTTCATTGTAAAGCAAACTTTTAAAATTCTATGCCGACTGATTTAGCGTTGTTCGTACAGAGACAACAGGAGATATGTTTCATTTACATATCCTGTAATGTCGTAAGTTATCTAGACTGATGGTTGATATAATCTGGTACAATTCAATTTAAATCCAAATATAAGGACGATACCTAAAAAGTGGCGAAAGATACCAAAAGGATATCATTGAAATACACACTTATAAGTCGAAAACAAGGGGTCAATTAAAAATGTAGGTCAAAGAAAGTCTTCCAAAATTAGGGCCGCAAGAAACAACACATACAAGTATTAAAAGGCTTACACCAAACCCTTGTACTGTTGAATGGTGGTCTGCTGCATACAGATTTTTGTTTCTCATACACAATTAGATATTGAATGAGAAGTATCATTCATTGATAATGATAACTGAATAAATGAGGACAAGATAACGGTTATGATAAAAAAAAATATCATAATTTAGATTTGAGTTCAGATATGAAACTAATTTATTTTCATTTCAAGAACTAATTTTCTTTTTTATTTAGTAGACATGGATATGCTTTTTCCTGATATATCTGTCGATAAGTCGGAACAACGACACAAACACAGGCAGATTGCATACTAATTGCAATTGTGAACCTATTTTCATAGATTGATTGTCGGTAACTTGACGTCTTGTGACAAATATTTCATAAATGTTCAAGATGAGAGCAAATAAACAATAAATACAATTGGTATGCCTTGTGGAACAGGCCGTTCGGGATAAAGGACGGGGAACATTTAGACTGCCACTGGAAAATGAGGCTATATTGTATAGGGATAGAAATTTTGCCTTGTACAGGTAACCTTTGGACCCCTCAAAGAGTTGTTACAACGTGTAGAGAGCGTGACATTATTTTTACGCGTGGCATCGGATTTAACATCCCCAATCTGACCGAACGTGGCTTCGTACATTTACATTCTGCAGAGCCAAACGGACGCCCCACTTAAGCAAGGGTTCTACTGCCGGTCGGAAGAAGAATTGTAGTGACCATATTCCTATGCCACAGTCACTAGAGTGAAAAAAAATACAAAAGATGGTCCCAATGTGTGTAATTAATATTTTTTATTATTGGTACCAATTTTTGTAATTAAATTTTCTTATTATTATTTAACGGAAACTACCGACGAACTAGCCAAACCGGTTTCTGTTTTAGTAAAATCAAAGCATACTATACAGTATATATAGTTTAATGTGTTACAAACTCAATAAGCAAAATAATACTAATACCTGTGTTATCAAAGACGTCGAACTGTGAGCTATTAATCACTAATGATATCCCCGAGCTTGCTTTAAATATTCGATAAATAGGAAGTGGAAGTAAATTGAAAATTCATTACATGTTACAGCAGATACACATAAAGCCTGATAGCATATTTCAGGAAGCACTTATTTGTAGTTCCGAAGAAAAATTGGACAAAAATTTCAAACATTTGTACATTCAAAATTTGATATCAATTTGAAAAGGTAACATTAAATAGTAAAAAATCAAAAAATTATATGAAAGTCAAACCAGAAAGGTATTAGAGCTATTTAAATCGTTTCTGTTCTTGATAAATATTACCAGTCTAATTCATTTATTAGGTCTAATTTATTTAAGGATGTTCGCTACTCTGTTTCAAAATTACAAGCTTTTTAAAAGACTGGTACATGTGTTATAAATTGATAGTATGTAAATAAATGAACTAAAAAAGCAGAAAAAAATGAAGGGTCCGTGTGCTTGTTTTCGAGATATAAGCCATTGAAAATTTGGCGGGAAATGATTCTCTCTACATTTTTCATAAATTTAACATTGGCACCTTTTTTCTTTCAAAAAAAAAAAAACAAGGGTTTTATAAGATTTTCAAATATGGCTTTTTAAACGATATGTAATAAAATTATGAAAAGAAAAGTAGGGGATAGCGGGCAAAATTTTTAATGGCACTACATGAATAAAACCAGAGGATTCCGAATATCTGGCAAAAAATCAAAAACAAGAGGAGCGAACATCCTTAAGACTAACACTTTTGATGAAAAAGGATTTAGCACCAGAAACATGTCTTTTGAGGACGGAAATCATACCAGTGCTGGTTGACTGTCAGTTCTAGTATAACACACCACCCAGTTGCAAATGGTTCGGTACAGATTTTTGAATTATACAAATAGTTAATTTCCAATTGATAGAATACAAAAAAACTAAGGTTGTGACTCCTTTAGGCAAATCTGACATTAGATTGATTGACTGATGTAAAGTCCAGTGACAAATATTAAATGCATGTTCAAGACGAGAACAAATTATCAATAAATACAATAGGTAGGTCCCGTAATAGAGGCCGCCCGGGATGAAGTCAGGGACTGCCACTGGAAAATGAGGGTATGTTGAATTAGGATAGAAATTTTGCATTGTAGAGGTAACCAATGGACCCCTCAAAGTGTTGTTACAAGCGTTCTTAATGTGTAGAAAGCGTGATATTCTTTCTACTCGTGGCATCGAATTTAACTTCCCAATTTTGACCGGACTTGGCTTCGTACACGTACATTCCGCAGAGCAAAACGGACCCCCCACTTTAGCAAGGGTTCTACTACCGGTCGTAAGAAGACCTGTAGTGACCATATTTCTATTCCACAGTCACTAGAGTAAAACAAAGTTACAAATGACGGTACCAATTTGTGTAATTGAATTCTCTTATTATGTTCTAGTGACTTATCAGTATGAAAGTCTTTTTGTCGACTTTTTGATTAAAAGAAAACGACGCCTAATGATGTTGTAATCGTTTTGTAACTGAACGTTTACTCAGCGCAATAATAACGTCATTCCTAAACATCTGGGCTTATTTCTGAAACTTAGACATGAAAAGTTATAACAGTTATTACAAAAGTTGTTATACAACGAAAGTTGACTTCTTCAGGCAAATCTGACATTAGAGGTGTTTCTGCTACACTGCTAAGACTATATTGTTATTCTATAACACAAACTACTCATTATTAAGATTTCTAAACTGTTGATCTCTAACAATCTTGATTGATTATCGTTTGTTTAATGTCTAGTGGCAAATATTTCATGCATATTCAGGACGAGAGCAAACTCTCAATTATTACAAAAAAATATGTCCTGCAATAGAGTGTCGATCGGATGATATATTAAAAATTTAAAGGTCACTGAAAAAATAGTGTACTAGTATTTGATCAGGACCGACTTAATCTATCCTTGTATACGACCACAAACGGATCCCTTAGATAGACGTTACAAGGGTCCTGAACGTGTACAGCGAGTGGTACCTTTTTACAATGACTTCAGATTTAACGTTACATTTTGACCAAACGCGGCTGAGAATTTTTATATCCCGCACAACCCAACGGACGTTCTACAGTGACAAGGGTAAAGCTGCGGATGAAATAAGGCCAAGGGATGACCATATTTCTATACCACTGTCAACGCTTCGGGATGATAGTACTTGATAAAGGTTATTTCAGAAACAAGTGTTTAGCCAGGAAACAAACATCAAGTTTTTTTTTCTTTTTATACCTTTTATTTAAATCTAGTAGACCCTCCAGCAGTCACTTTTCTTTCTAAGAAATGAAAAATAAATAGCCGTGAAAAATATGTTAACTTACCATTTTGTGTTCTTTAATTACCTTACAGATTGGTATTTCTTTTGATTTTACGGATGCACATTAAAGTATTAGTTGACAAAATCTTTTCAAATCTAGATATAATGTAATGGACCCTTAAATACTGATCAAGTTCTATTTTGAAATTTGGACACAATGTCGTGGATCATAATATACAGGTCAAATTCGATTTTGAAGATTTTGACATCTACAGTTCAAGAATTGGATACCTTAAAGTTAGTAATGTTGGGTTTCCATGTGGTAATGAAAGTCCTGTTTGATCAAACAATTAAATACACTTACGCAATAATATGAAAGATAAAATGGGTCATATTCAAATGGTTCTTTGGTTGTGGAAATACTGTTAAAGAGTTCGTTGTGAATGGTGATTCTTACAGCCTTATTCCAGTTAATTTTTTTAAGTTTCACTGTCTTTCTCGATTAAAAAATCTTATATAATTTTGCTAATCTCCCTGACTTGTCTTTCCATAATACATCTTTTACTACATTTCTAGTAAATCTAGTTAAATCCTAGTCATTTCTTAAGATATGAAGTC